AGTCACAAATTTAATATTAGTGGTTTTGGAGAATCTGGAGTCCACAGCGCCTGCTACTCAGGGCCTGCCATATAGAGGACTTAGCTTTGGTGCGTTTGGAGTTCTCTGGCCAAAAGAAGTGCTCCTCTGAAAATTAGAACTCCATTCTATAATTGACATGGCCTTGGTGATCATATTCATATTGCACTACTGTAACTGGAAGCATAGAACCCGATAGTTTGATTGTCTTTAAGCCTCAGATGATTTTATGAAGTTCTGCAGCCACCTGTACCTTTCTCTAGAATAGCAGATCTAGAAGATGGATATCTAGAGTACCAATGACTTCTCAAAAGTCTTCTTTACTTCTGCTCATCCAAAAGGTGTGTCTGGCAAAGTTGCCATTATAGAAGGGCACCTACAGATGCCTTAAATGAAGACCTCCACTTTATCTTTGGATATTAGCACAGGCTTTGTATGTTGACATTTCACTTCTAATTTATCCATTCTTTGGCACAAAGACACTAAGGCTAGTGCTGCTGAAGCCTTCTATGGCCCCACAAACCTGGAATCTTTAGGCAATTAATTTGCTGAATGTCACCTTCTGAGAGTTTGTGGCCTCATCTATACCACCAATATAATCTTGCTCCGTCTCCTTTCTCTGATTATGAAACAATTACAACCTACACTCATAAATGAGACCTTGAAAGAAATGTTCCCAGCCCCTCTGCTCCTGGTTTTCAAACAACTATCCAAACTTGCCCAACTCAGAAAAGAAAACTCCCCATTGCCCAAACATCAAGAGGAACGCAGCCTTGCCTTAGCAAGAAATGTTTAACCTGTCAACAGATCTTCACTGTTACTACAATCAACACCTTCCACAACAAAACCCTCAGAATTCATGGTTCCTACACATGCCTTTCCCAAAACATGATATACCTGACCCAATGCACCAACTGCTGTCAACTACTCAGGTGAAACGAAACAAGAAACCATGCACCAGAATGAATTCTTACAGAAAGAAATATAAAAGGACAAACATACACTATTAGGAGCACATTTCTCACAAAACAGCCACTCCCCCTCTGAACTCATTATCCTCATGCTCAAGAGAAATCCACCCAACACTTAAAAGGAGAACTTGGGGACAAAAATTCATAAGCTGAATGGACACTAAGAACCAAGGATTTAACAATAATATTGGCATTATGGTACATTATAAACATACCCGATTCCTGAATTCTTTCCACACGGAGGTGATGATACTAGCCTTCCTCTATTTGATAGACCTTGATCTCCCACTAATCTGCTACTTTTTCTGCTAATTCTGTGTGCGCTACCCTAGGAACTCTCTCTCCACCCTCCTTTCAACAGTTTGTTACTATGTCGTACTGGCTTTCTTCATCAGGTTTAAGAGAGAAATGTCTTGCATTTGAAAGCTTGTCTAACTCCATCCCAACTATACAATTAAACCAATAAAAGATACCACCCTACGAAATCTTTGCCTCTATCCAAAATCTTGGACCATCATGGCTACATCATCATTCTAATATTACCACATTTAATTTTAGCACCTATTAGCACTTTTTTCCCTATCCTGTTATACATTGTACTCTAATGCTACTTACAACTTCTTGAGTTCCATAATGTAAAACAGATGTACTACAAAAATGTTGCGATCACTGCACTTACGATGTAAGAAGCAGTCATATTTAAAACAGCGCCTACAGAAGAGTGTATGAAAGGAGTGTAGACTCTGCTCCCTCTGAACAGATTTGGCATTTGGTCCATCTATGTTTGGTGTACACTCAGGAGGAAGAGCTCCTGGAAGCTGCTGCTCTGTGAGTTCTTTGTATCTGTGAAAAAGAAATTAAAATCAGAAGTTGCTTACCTATATAAAAAGGATCAAATATAAACCAAATAAAGATATAAAACCAAAAGTAAATCTGGATTTATTTGTAGTTATTTTGAATTTATACAAGAATTTGGCACCAATCACCCACAATCATCTCTCCACCCATTTATCTTGGGAGGTTGGGGCAGGGGATTCAGTTTTGTATTAGGTTTCCAAAGCCACAATGTAAGTAAAAATCTGAATTACTTGAATCAAATGACCTTGATGGCTATGTACATACAGCTGTCATGACAAACTACTATTTCTTTACTCATTAATCCACAAATAGATATAAAAGGCAGGGATAAATTTATCATTTTAGAAACATTATCCCCTCCAGATAAAGCTTTCCCATTGCACTCAAAGATTATAGCAGTAGGGTATTCTCTCTTTCATTGAAAGGCCAGAGCAATAACATATACATAAATATTTTTGATAACCCCTGGATAAGGCTTATACACTGCCCTTCTCTCCCATATCATATTTTTCATTTGTAGATTCAAGCCCCCACACCCCCACCCCAAATGAGGTTGATATCTTCAGTACCATTTTACAGAAGTTATTTGCCCAAGATCATCCAGCAGATCAGTGGCAGAGCCAGGCATAGGAGGCAGGACTTGAGTCCCAGTTCAGTGCTTTATCCACTAGGCAACAGTGGTCTCTCATACTTTATCTGAAACAACCAATGCCTTTTAAATATCACCTATATAACCTATACTATTTGCCATTAAATTTCACCTCCCCGTCCTAAGGCCTGAAGTGATGGCACTCTCCCCCAGCTGGCAACAAACTTTTTTTTTTTTTTTTTTTTTGGGAGAGCCAAAAACCCCAAAGCCCACACAATGATTAAGTACAACAGAGATCTTACTTTTCCTTCAGTTCCTCAGCTGTACCCTTGTCTGGAAACATCGAGGAAATGGCTTCAAATATCTTATCAGAAGGAAATTTCCGAGGTGGATGACTCTCTTTGTCTGCAAAGATGGACAGATAAAAAGTTTGGGGGGAAAAAAGAAGGGGGGGGGGGGGGGAAGATAAAAAGGAAAATTATTTTGCTTTTCCTTGCAATAGCACACACACACACACACACGCGTATATGTATGTTGCTCTACATGTAAACTTATCGCTTACTCCAATATTGAAAAGGGTGGGGAGGACCTACTGGCTTAAACTAATAAAAGCTAAAGACCTGACTTCATGAAGATGACAATTTTAGTTTGTAAAGTAATAAAAAAAAGAATTTACAGTAGGGAAAAAAACCTCTGTACAAAATGTATACGGCTAACACACCTGTAGATGCGGAGTCAAATTATCAGCCATATCTGCCTAATCTTTCCTTATTAAAAGCTGCACAGTACTACCATACAGTGACAACCCAGAGCATGTACATCTCAGATGAAATAGAAATATCAAGCTGCAATACTACTACCTATAATTAGGGTGACCATAAGTCCCATTTTAGCAGAGAGAGTTCTGGATTTCAGAGGCTGATCCTGGCCAGCTACTGAGAATTATAATGGACATCCCGGAAACACAGGGGTGTGGGGCAGAGTCTGGCCATGGGTTAGATTAATGCAGAGCACCTTGCAGGCAGTATCTGGATTTCCCAGATGCTGTTCCAAATTTCAGAGATTTCCATATGGTCAGCCTACCTATAATAGTCTCTAGTCCAGGGGTTCTCAACTCCAGGCCCATGGGTCAGAGCTGTCTCACTGAAGAGTCACCTGGCCCACTGGGCTCCCCAAGCATCTGAAAATTTGGCTGCAGGGAAGCCTTAATTGCTACTCCCTGCAGCCAAATTCCCAAATGCATGGGGGTTCTACAGGCTAGATAACATGGCCCTGCATGCTAATTGGCAGCATGGGGCCCAACCCAAGCCAGCCCATAGACTGCCCCATGCCACTCATCATACCAATGAGGACAAAGGGTTGAATACCACTGCTCTAGGCTAATTAGGAACTGAACTGCATAGGAAATACTGAGGAAAGATCTATTAACCACTTTCTATTTCGTGTATTTTTGAGAAGTAAACTTCCATTGAGCAAATAAATACAAGAAATACTACTTAAATTGACATACCTATTCTATTTCCTTCTCGGTCTTTCTGCTTTTCATCTCTCTCATCACAAATATCATCTCCATCATCATCATCTTCATCATCACTATACTGACCAAGTGCATTGACCAGCTCCACAAATATCTCATCATTAATAAATCCACATTCTGAAATTCAACGAGATAGTAATGAACGCACACATGCACAAAGTCTTCATTTATACCCTTGTTTTACTGTTTAGCATGAAGCGCATTCTGTATTTAGAGCACATTACAACCCAGGTTCAGCATCAGACATGGGAGGGCTAGAAGGAGTTAGAAAGTACAGTCTCTTACCTATTAATTTTTCTCCTAAAGATATTTATGTTAGCAGAGTGGTAGAACAAAAATCCTTCCAATAACCAGCAAGAGGGGAAAAAAGCAAGGCTCTCATCCTCTCTCTCTTCCTACAAAGGTAGCTGGGTCAATTGCTTGCACCATTTCAAGAATCAAGGCCAAAGTTCAGTTCTCCAATGGCCAGTTTGTGCCAATCGTGCAACAAAGACTAAAAAGCCATTATTACTGAACAGAAAGGGACACCTCAAGCATGAGGTAGTTCCTCAACTAGAAGCCCCTCCCTGACAGACCACTGACCTAGAATAATACCAGAAAAAATTGCTCTAGCCAGTGATGGCTTAAAGGTGGTATTTAAAGGTGTGGTGTGGGTGTGTCCGCCCATTGGCTTTGTTGCATTAGACAGCCTGTCTGCTTCTGAAGGCTCAGAAACCCATGTACGAGGTCCAGGCATTCTAACGCGCATACACGCACGCGCGCGCATTAGAATGCCTGGGTCTCATACACGGTTTTCTGATCCCTCAGAAGCAGACAGGCTGTCTAACACAACAAGGCCAATGCATGTGCATAGTCTGAGAAACTAGGGGCATGTACCACACTGTTCTGTAACATGAGAATAACAAAGCAGTGACCTGAGAATAACAAAAAGCCCGGGTCCTCCTCCTCCCCAACAAGGTCCCCGAGAGGGATCCCCATCCTCCGGGAAGGGTCCCCGAGGCCACCATGGACACCACCTTCTGCACACCATCAGCCTGTCTCATCCACTCCACTGGAGGGGGAGGGGCCTTGGTATCCCACCTCCAGGCTGCTGACATGCTGACACCTAGGAGAGCCTTCAGAGTGAAGCCTACATCCTGGCCAGACATTTCTTGACTCTGATGACAGCCCTAGAATTGGTAGCTACCAGAATTGCTTGATTGTTTGTATCATTTCTTCTCTGTTATAACTGTACATCAGTAAGTTTGCCTATTATCGAACGGAAAGGTCGTGGTCGGTCTGAGGGTGGATCTCTACTCCTCCAGAACAAGGCATCTGGGTCCTAAATCCAGAGCCGACAGCCAGTAAAGTCAAAAGGAAGACAGAGGATATAATACAAAGAATGAAACATTCCATAACTATCCTAAAAAGTTACTTTAAGTAGAGAGGCATTTTACTATCCTGCCTCCTGACAAGGGCCCCTCAGGACTGCAGATTCCCATGCTGCCTGTATTGATCATCTCCAAATAAGAATGATACAAGTATTAGAGAAAAATAGTCTCTCTATTTAAAACTGAAAAAAGTGTCTTTGATGGCCAAAATGCTAATTACTGCCATAAGCCAAGGATCTAATCTGCGAAGGGAAACAAAGTTGTAAGAGGTAAAGTCTTTATAAGGCACCCTTCCTCATAAGGATTATCACTGTGTTTTCCAGATAAGAACCGCCAAGAGAAAAAAAAAAAAAAAAAGACTATGGTCTTTGGGTACCAGCAGTGTACATAAAAACATGTACAAGGAAAAAGCCACAGAAGAGAGGAAAGAGGGGGGGCTGGAAAACAGACAAAAAAACCCCATTCCATCATAATAGCAACACCATCCAAAGAGGACTTCATGGAGAAACAGAAATAGGACAGATAGTTAGTACCATATTTTGTTCAATATAAACACTTGTCTTCCACAACAGCCCCTTCAAAAACAGCGGTGCTGATATCCACCTCACAGCTTCACCCAAAAGGCTTACCTATCCCAATTATTCCAGCATTAAATGAAACTATAACCAATGAGCAGCCAAGCAAAAAACAAAACAAAACTGGGACAGTTTAAGAGGGAGCCTGAATAGCAAAAACCTAGACCCCTAAACAAAGGAATCTATTGTTTTTTGTTGTGCTACAGAAAAGGTAAGCAAAAGGTTACTTTGTCACCATGAGCCAGAGAGGGCAAAAGATGACACAGCTTGTGGGACAACTCCCACATGGAGCAAAACAAAATTAAACAAAAAAACCAAACAAACAAAAACCAAAAAAAACACCAAAAAAAAACAAACAACAAAAATCACTTTACACGCTAAAATTCTATACAACAAACCTACAGAGAGGACAGACCTGTAGGAAGTTTTACCCAAGGGAGCCAAATGTTATTTATAAAAGAACCATACGCTGAATGAACAGCATGCTCTTGTTGCAAAAAAGCGAACAGGATACTGGGATATATTAACAGATGTGTCACTTGCAAATCAAGGGAAAGGATTCTTTTGCTCTATTCAGCACGTGAGGCCTTACCTGGACTACCATGTCCAGTTTCGAGCACCATACTTCAAAAAGGATGCAGACAGCTTGAAAACAGTCAAGCACAGAGCTACAAAAATGATTAAAGGGCCTGGGCAGCATTACTTATAAGAAAAGTCTAAAAAAGCTAGGATTACTTAGTCTGAAGAAGGGAAGACTTGAGGAGGGATTTAATAAGTCCTCAAATACCTGAAGGGCAATTATACAGAGGGTGGAGAAGACCTTTGCTCTGTGGTCATAAGGGACAGGAGCAATGGGCAATGGCCTCAAGCTGCAGCAGAGGAAATTTAGGTTGGAGATTATGAGAAACTTTTTGATTACAGGGATGGTCAAGCATTGGAACATGCTACCTAGTGAAATTGTGGAATCTCCATCCTTGGAAGTTTTCAAGAGTAGGTTGTACAGACAACTGCGATGGTTAGTCAAGGATGGTTCCGCCTACAGCATGATGCATGACTAAATGACCTTGTGAGGTCCCTTCTAACCCTACTTTTCTATGATGCTATAACTAAAGACTTAAGTTAGTTCCAAAAGACAGCAGCATTTAATACACAAAAAAACCCCCAAACAATTAAACTGGCCTGCTACACAGCCTTGCTTGAAAGTCTTGTCTTCACCAGAACTCTGCCTTTTAACTAAACTACATCTAATAAAAAAGACAAAATATACTAAGAAGCAGTATGTTTCAGTGGCCTGAACATGACCAAGAATTTCCATATCTTTAAACCTCAACTATTACGGCTTGCTATGCTCTTGGGCAACTATGTTTTTTGTTTCACCACCCTGAACTGACACAAGAATTTAGTTAATATTTACACAGCCCATATATTAAAGCTAAGTGCAATTGTAACACCCACCATACCCATGACATAGAGGGTCCTAAGTAATACTATAAACAGTAATTGAATAAGTCCTCAATAATCACGATGGGGAAGAGGTAGTATTATAACAGCTTTTAGCTTATAAAACAGTGTGTATTATAGCTGATTGCTTCATAAACACTGGTGTTTTGTGTACAAAGAACTGATTCAGGTTTAATAACAGTGCATCCTATATTTGAGGTCCCTTCCAGTACCAAGATTCCATAAATGTGTGTATCTGGACTCACCTCTGTCTCCATGAACTTTCCCATCATAGTTCTTGATCAATTCCTCAATAAATGTACCATCCTGGTCAAGCACTTCATCTCCCATATAAGGAATGTTATGTAAAACTGTTTCATCTTCTACCTAGAATAAAGTAAAAACAGATTATCTGAATAACACAAAGTAAACGTTATTTGCATATTTGACCAGTCTCCCATCTCAGCAGTGCTATTGCCCAACACCTGTAACAAGTGGCAACCTAACAGAAAAAAAGGCCAGAAGCCTTTTTTTTTTTTTTTTTTTTTTTTATTTTTTTTTATTAACACTAAGGGAATCTCAGACACCCACAACAGAGCCACTACTTCCCTCTACAGAGTTCAGAAAGCACATGTGATAAGAAGCACTCTACGACAGCAAAACAAGAGGCGAGGGGGATTTAAAAAGAGCTATTCAAACACTCAGTTTCATTTTGGGTCACTTTGTTTTTCCTTCCCACCCTCCATTATAGAAAACAGACCTGCACTTATCATATATACCTGGGAAGAAAAGTAGCCATCTTAGAAACTGAAAAATTCCTTTCCATTCTTTTGCTACAAGCATAGAAGTACAATGCAAATGGCATTTAACTCATTTTCACCAGATATTGTCATTTCTCAATCTCAGCTTCAGCCAGCTACAGACCCTAGATACACAGGTTTTCTGCACAGCAAAGCACAGAATTAGTCCATGAACTATTAGTCCTAGGTCTTCCTCCAGCCATCTTTCTGGAATAAAAATACTTGGTCCAAGCATCACTGTACAATTTAGAGTCCAATGTCTCTGCAGTCTATGGAGGCTGCAGTGCAAAAGGCAGCAAGATATTCCGGTTATAATACAGAGACAAAATACAGCTATTAAAAACAACAGGAATGCTTCCTTTCCCTTTCATATATACTAGGTGACTGGTTTCCACTGTAACTGCCATTTGTTGCCTAAAATATAAACTACTTCCATTTTTTAAACTTACCATAAAGTTTTGCTGAAGGGGAGACCAAGAATACATTATAGGCACTGAAGCAACAGCATTCAAAGTCTTGAGTGGGATGACTTGTTTTGGAAAATCTAAGTCGCTGGTAACAGAGCACTGAAACAAGAGGTAGAAATTAAATTTCTCTTCTAGTAAAATTTTGACAAAATTCGAAAGAATTCACTGTATAAAATATAGATATCACAATTAAGTAAATCTGCCTTTGGAAAAGTGCATCAATATTTACAGGGCAGCAACAAGAATAAGCAGAAGAGACAGGAATTGTTTGCAGAATTTGGTGAATGGCTTCTATAATGTGTTATGTGCAATGATTAAGTGCAAAGAAGGCTCTGATAAATCTCTTTAGCTCAGTAAGTTCTGCAATCAGTTGTCTCCAAGATCTAAATGAAAGAAACATATTGTTCTAACCAGATTAAGAAACCAATTTCACTGAAAAATGTGGTCACCTTCATTCCTGTGGCCAGCAGGAAGAAGAAAGTGAGGAGTCCCTTGTATCAGGGTATGTGGTGAATGTTTCTAACACACATGCATGAGCGCGCGCACACACACACACACACTTGTTTAAATTGTATTAAAAAAAAAAAAGAAGAAAAATCAGTTTTCACATGTTCAATATAGGCTTCGTAGATTTTGGCAGCTAAATTCTCTGAAGATTGTTTGAACTGAACATGCTCCCTCTGGGATACAGTGGGACTAAGCCATACTCTCTCTTCAGTTGCATTTTCACATTGCTAAGTGCTGCTATAATATCAGGAACCACAACTGAAAGCAGAAACTTTTTCCTGTGCTACCAATGCTGCCTCTATTGGAATCTAACCAAAGAGGAAACTACAAGATGCGAATGTACAACTCAAGATGGCCAACAGTAAAGATGACGACAAGGTTCTTGGGGACTAACATATTTATAGAACCTCTTGTTGTCTTTAACTTTCTTTGACAGGAGCAGCTCATTCTTTGTCCTCCTGGTTTTTTTGTCCCTATACGTTCTTGCTATTTCCTTGGCGACCTGCCCATTTTTCCATTGTCTCGGCTTACTTGGTGTAGAGAAGAGAAGACTGAGGGGGGATTTAATAGCAGCCTTCAACTGCTTGAAAGGTTGTTCCAAAGAGGATGGAGCTAAACTATTCTCAGTGGTGGAAAATGACAGAACGAGGAGCAATAGTCTTAAATTGCAGAAAGGGAAGTTCAGGTTAGATATTAAGAAAAAATCTCTTAGGAGGACAGTAAAACAATGGAACTGGTTACCCAGAGAGGTTGTGGAATCTCCATCCTTGAAGGTTTTCGATACCCTGGTAGACAAAGCCTTGGCTGGGTTGACCTAGTTGGGGATGGTCCTGCTTTGAGTAGGGGGTTGGACTAGGTCAGCATTTCTCAACCTCATGGGCTGTGACCCAAAAGTGGGTTGCAATAATATATGAAAGGGTTACACACAAACTTTAGAAATGGATCAACAAATTTTAAAAAATGGATTCTCCTTTAAAGGAAAGAAACATGGGAAACTCTGATTTTTCCCTTTCAGGCTGACATTTCCAGCCTGCAAGGAGCTCCTTGGGGCTCCCCATAGCTCACACTCCCCCTGCCCCACACACTGTGGGGGATGGGCCCTAGGGGCAGAGGACAGCAAGTAAGGAGTGAGGGGCACTGGTTCAGGACTGATCAATTATTACAAATGGGTCCTGGTACAAAAAAAGGTTAAGAACCACTGGGCTAGGCGGCCTCCTGCAAGTCTCTTCCAACCCTTATTGTCTATGATTCCATGAAGGCAAATGATAAAAGGAAAGGCTTAAAAGATGGGCATGTTCCACTTGCAGAAAAGGCACTTAATGGGGGGACATGATAGTAGTCTTCAAAATTACTTGAAGAGTTCCCAGAAAGAGGAGGAAAAACACCATTTCTCTCTTGCTACAGAGAGCAGGACACAGATTAATGGCTTGAAGCTGCAACAAAGTAGGTTTAGATTGGAAATCAGGAAAAACTTCTTTGCTGTTGGAATAGACTGCCTCACGAAGCTGTGGATGCTCTCATCACTGAAGAGGTTCAAGGAGACATGGACAGACACTGGTCAGAGTATTTGCTATGCTTCTGGACTTTGCTGGTTGCCGTACAGGGCCAAGACATATTATTAGAAAGCCTGAGATTTTATTAATAATGCTGAAAAAATTCAAAAACTGAACTCCCTTTTTCATCTGGCGTTTGTGGAGCTACTCAGAAAAGGGAAGCATCATATAAGACTTGCAACCTTCAATAAATGCTTCACTATCATAAAATGATGATAAAAGTATCTACCCAACGTTGTATTTGAGGCTAAAAATACTTTTAAAATTTACTTTAGAAAGGATTCAGATACAGCCTTATAGACGCCATTTCCCTGGCTTAATTCTCCCATTATAAATTATGGCAATTTAAAAATCAAACATTGAAATTAGTGTTCTTCCAAGTCCTTTATGAGATACAAACTGGATTAAAATGCAATAATGAATGCACTCCATCAATTCAGATATAAAATTAACTTAAAAATTATCCCCTTGAAACAGGAAGACAAATCAAGCTAGCAAATCAAAATCTGATATATATTCATGCTGTAATTCTAACAGTGAAATTTGGCCTTTTTTCCAACTAAGAATTGCAAAAGTGAAGCACATGACCCTGGAACGCAGATACAGCTACTGCTAAGAGTTGTCAAATCTCTAATCCTACAATACCAAGCATGTGACCAGTGGTCAAGCACAGAGCCCTACTGACTTCAGTGGGGATCTATGGCTATATCCACAGTATCAGAGGATTGAAGCCAGTCATGTTTTGCATTTCTGACTACAGACCTACTTTCATAGAGGAAAGTGGAAGACATGCTAAAAGAGATGAGCTGACTATATAGTTACAAAAAAACAGTAAGATAAGCAACATGAATTCTTTCCATTTCTTTCCATTATTTATGAGCTCCAAACATCTAGTTTGGATGAAGAGCTGCATGTTTTACAGTATTTCTTTAGGATAAAAATAAGTATTTCATATATTTCCAGTGGCCAATAGGTACCACTTTTGTGTAAAGTTCCCCTTCAAAATCTTTCAATTCTCTACAGTTCTTCCAGACCTTAAATAAAAATATCCCCTGCAGAAAATCTGTGATTTAATTTGCTTTCACACTTATGGGAAAACCTTATCTAATTCATGACTATGAAAAGTTCTCTCATGAGACATTAAACATTAAAAAGTAAAACTATCTATGCAAATTAAACCAGTTTGAGGGCAATAGCTACACTGTAGCTGAGAAAAATAAATCAGCTTTGCTGAGCTCTGCGTTACCATGCCTTGACTACTACTAGTAACCACATTAACTAGTTTATCTCCATGCTACCCTGCAGCACCTACCTCTGTGTCTTATCTATTTAAGCCAGAATTATGAGCTTTCATCAGTTTAATCGCATCCATTTCAACTGCCTTTAGTTAAATCAGTAAAGCTTTTCTAACAAATTCAAAACAAAGTGGATCTGTTCACTACTTTCATGCACATTCTTTATTCAGTGAGAGCTGGATCAGATCTAAGTGGCTCTGAGACAAGAAGCCTTGATTAAAAGATGTTTATGTATTATATAAAATCTCATATATGGCAGCAAAAAATTGTCTTGATGTAAATACATTTTAGAAGCCAAACCAAGCTGCATTTTATTGATTCCTTCCCAGTAATCATCTGATAGGGGTTGGCATGAAATACTTTTTAGAAAGTGGTTTCCAAATGTTTCATAGGAAAAAAGAAAGTTAGCTTCACATGGTCACAGTGAAAATTAGCAGCTAACTTTTCACCAGTAAAACTAAAATGTGCTGACAACCTCATAACTAGAATTACCACAACACATCATGTTAACCAACCTCCCTGGTCCCGCGCAATGAGCTCACAGAAGTCATGATGTGTACAGGCTGTATCCTACGCTGCTTCCACTCTTGATTTAAGATCTCTGTTCTTTCCAGTATCTTCTGACGATTAGAATTAAACATACTCTAAGAATAAAAAAACATTTTTTAAAAATTACAAATGAACTAAGTAAGGAGTCTGAACTCATCTAATAACCACCTGAAGAGCTAGCAGATCTATTTCAGTAACATAGTACTCATCTTTGCCAACAAACTGAACTTAAGCAGCATCATGAAAATGTGTTGCCTTCTTTAAATAAAATAAGATCGAAAACACAAATTTTATTAAAATATTAGCTTTGCATTTTCATTGCTTCTACCAAGTATTCTGAAAAGCCTGTATTTGTGAATGGAATATTTATTTGTCTAAGGAATCCTGTTTATCTTGTCTCTATGTCCTCTCCTCAAATGATGTAGAACCATATATATAATTTTACAGTCTTCACACAGATTTGCAAAATTATTAAGTCACAAAATACCGTTGAGATCAGTGCATATGACCTAGGGCCCCTAATGTCACTTATTTTGTTTTGGTTTTATTTCATTAAACTCCTGCAGATTATAGTAACACCACTATATAAAGCACAGCTGTACAGCTCTAGCTTTATTATCTAGTATTTCTATTCTCAAAATGTAATTCTCTCATGCTTGTTATCCACTGCAATTTGACTTTAGTATTAATAATATCTAAGAAAAATCCAGGTGGTCATTTTCTTTTTAAATGAAATACACAGGAGCACGAAGTCATTTCTTCTTTCCCTGCCCCTTAGCAATATAAAAAAAAAACCAAACACAAGTGAGACAATACAAGAAAATAACCGCATACGCTATAGCACCTGAATTTTTGCCTAACAGAAAGGTACTGAACCAGACATCTTCCAATCCTCTTAATTTCTACCTGTTTGGAGACCTATGATTTCACACAGTTATTGTACAGAAAAGGAATAGGCTTGATTATTTGGCCTATAGCCAATTTCCCCAGAATCAATTCTCCTCAAAAGTGCAAGGATTTTTTTTCCCCAGCATAAGCGAATGCATTTTTTATCTTCCTGGATAAAGTAGATGTTTTACTTATACAGATGCATAAATAGATATATGCAAATGCCTATCTAGAAAACAATAATGCTAATTACATATTACATTCACCACTAGTGGCTCACATTTACTGAGATATTAAAAAGGTATTTATAGCTCTTCTTTTAAAAAAAGTGGTTTTCCAAAAATTAAGTAAATAGATGGCCACAAGACAACTTTACTGGTACAAGATTTGAGTTCTAATATACACTAGAAAAGAAAAGCCATTTTAACACCTACAGTGCAAAACTTCATGAAGGAGCTAAAAGGTGACATACCTTTACTTCATCTGCTCGACGAAACCTCTTGAGCTGCCTCAACCGCATGTATTCTGATTTCACACGCTTTCGCCAACAAATTGGTCCCTTCTCAGATTTCTTTCCGGTCTGACCCATGGTTACCCTACAGTCAACAGAACTGCATTAAGATTAAGCAACATGGTCACTCTTTTTACAACACTAGCTGATAGAATATTTAAATCAACTCAAAAGACAATAGTTAGACAACTGTTTAGATAAAAAGTAGACACTTACCAGTAACACCAACCCTGTAAAGGTTTGAGCCTGAAAAGCACTGAACAGTCTGGGCCCATCCAACAAAGCAGGTGTTTAAAAATGCTATGACAGGAGTAACTGCGCTAAAGTGAATGGGACAAAACACGTGCTTAAATTTTAAGCACAAGCTTTAATGCTCTGCTAGACTGCTTAGCATTTTGCAGAATCAAGCCCTTCCCTCAGGAAGCCAACTGGAAAAGTTTAGATGCTAAGAAATGCTTCCCACTAAGAAACTAACTAATGCTTTGCAAATTTAAAGCTTTCTAGTTACAGCTGGTGATTGAATCTCAAGCTGGAAGCTATATTACCACAAAAGGGAAAGACCAAAATAAAATACCGTAAACTACTCGCCTCTCTGATGCACTATGAAAAATATACAACTTGCCAAACACTACTGTATTAAGGAGTTTGTAGACACAAGATTAACATTGGGCAAACGAATGTAGCAAACACAGGAAGATTCTCCAACAGAAGTGAATGGTGCTATTATGTATTCCCCAACCCCAGAAAAGAAAGCGTAAGTTTATTCATTTGCAAACTTTTTCCATAGTAATATTAGCAATCAGACGAAAAAAATTCTGGCCACTTTACCAATATACAGCTATCATGTTCTCTTAACAATGCCAAATACTTTATACCCTACAGTCATTGTGAAGGCAATGCAGCTCCTGGCTGCCACCATCCCTAGAACAGAGCTGCTCCGTCAAGATTTCCCTAATGAACGCACCCTTACAACCTACATTTTCTGGTTTGAATAATGATTCAGCTGTATTATGTTCACAGTCCTTCCTGGCAGAACGAAAAAAATCCAACTGCCTCGAACAACTGGCATATCTTGGACAAGCCTCATCTTCTGCAAAATAGTTTTTAGCCCTTTTGATTGTGAAGATAACCTGTCAGCAACGTAACTGATGCAGTTCTGCCTTCGCCAACCTAGAGTAGTGGTGCTCAATCTGTGGGCAGCCCACAAAGCCATGTCATCCAGCACATGGGTCTGCAAATTTGGCTGCAGGGAAGCAGTGGCAACATTTAGTGCTGCTTGCCTGCTACCAAATTTCCAGACCCAGAGGGAGCCTCACAGGTCAGGTAACGTGACTTGCACACTAGACAGCACAGGCATGTGGTGTGGCCAGTGCACAGGGTCATTCTGCACCTGGATCCAGTCTGCAGGGTCAGGCCACGTGCAAAATCACACCTGCAGTCCCACCCTGCATGCCAACCCGATGCGGGATCCAGCCTGCAAACTGGCCCCAAGTCACTTATTCTGGCCTTTGTGGCCAAAAGATTAAGCACCACTGGTCAGAGTTTCAGTGCCTATGCTGTCTGTCAGCTGTGACAACATTTCTGATATAATACTGAAAACTATTTTTATCAACTTTAAGATAGTGTAAGTAAAAAGTTTTCGGTAGGCAGAGCTATTTTCAGGAACTGTGCAATTTCATAGTTAGATAGGACTTGTAGAGTATAAATGACTTCATGATGATCTCTTGATCATAAAGTATACTACTGCAATGCCAGAAGTCAAATTGCTCTCATATTACTGTTCCTTCATTTATATTTAATAAATGGAGATGTGTTAGACTCAAGAAAACCAAAATACATATTTATGTAAAAACCCACCATGCAAATTACAGTATTCAGTAACAAAATTCTAAACATTTAACTGAGTTAACACTTGTGCCTTTACTCACCATAGGACATGTACACCACTTGGCTTATGGCGCAATTAGAAAAAACAAAAGCAAAAAGCCCAAAAACTGTATGAAAAATATAAGACTGGCAATGTGTTTTAACATGCAGTTAAACCACTAAGGGAAACACGGGGTGCATCCAGACAAGCATGGTCCTGTGGCATGTGGCGCTGCAATCACATTTGCTGCGCCACACACTGCACAGTCCTGCGTTCTCCATGCTGCAAGGGCATGCTGCACCAGTTTATATTACTTTTCTTTTTAACCCTGGATGTGCAGGGGTCAAAAAAAAATGGTGCAGCGCATGCTCAGGCAGCAAACACTGCTGAAAAGCAGTCAGGCCACCCAGTCATGCTGCAGCTGCCAGCCAGGCTCTACAGTAGAATCACTGCGGCTGCAGTCCCGGGAGACCCCCAGGCCCCCAGGTAAGGCTGCTGGGGCCAGCACAGTGCTGGCCCCAGCCTTCCCTACCTCACCCAGGGCAACTTGTTGCATGCCAAAAGTGTTCCCCAGGGACAAGTAGCTGCAGCGCAAGGTGTTGTGCTGCTACTTATTCCTGGGGAACCAAGCATTCATGCACGCCTAGACATGCCCTGGGGGAGCAAACTCCTCAAATGACAACAAAAACTCAGGGTGTGGACAGACACAATGCTTAGACCACTGTAAATCCCAAGTTTACTTTTGTATGCTACTTGAGACTGGCTTAAACTTCGTGAAACATTTCAGCACCTACTCCCTTCACCTCTTCTCTCAGCAGCACGTGGCTTCCTACCCATCCCAACCCCTTTCCCTGCTGCTGCTATCCCCAGCTGCCAGGCAGAGAGAGGTAAGGAAGCGGAGGTGAGCTCCAGAGCTTTCTGCCCTACTCCAGGCAGGAATAGTGGCTGCGATGATGGCATGCAGGAACCTCCTCTCTTCCGGGTCCCCCCAGGTATTCCCCGTCAGCTTTGAAGCAAGGGGTGGGGGAACGACACGCACCTGCCAACACTGCTGTCCCCAAATGGAACAGGGCAAGAGCAGTTCTGGAGCCTCCCCACAGTCAACTGGAGATGGAGGAGACATCAACAGTGGCTGGGGTGGTGAGGAGAAAGGGAGGGACGAGAGGGAAGAGATTCTTTTCTGCTTTGTTTATCGTTGCTTCCATTGAGTGGTCCAAAATGAGAGTGCAACTGTACCACTTCCCCCTCTCTGACTCTGCCCCAGCCAGATTGTGTGGTTCCTTGGGGGAGGACGGGAGGCAGCTAACTGCTGCACCCTCCCTCCACCCATATCTCCGCAGCTTTTCACGCCTTGAAAGCTGTGCCAATTTCACCTTCCTGCTTAACCACCTGCGCTCTTGGGTGCCAGGCTCCTTTGAGGGAGGTGGACTGCGGGGGTACTGAGTGGCTTGCCTCTCCCTCATCCCAAATGAGCCTGGGTCTCTTATCATGGAGACCAAATTGACAGCGTGGCTTTTAAGGCAGGGGTGGAAAAGTTTCAGACTTCTTGGGGGGGGGGGGGGGGGGGGAAGCACAGTCTCCTGTGAATTACTAGCAGGGGGGCCACACAGCCCCCCTAGCACCTAACATTTTCTCCTTTCCTCCCTGGAAAGCATGATGGTCTGGGCACTCAGTGGCACTTCATCAACAGTGCAGTTACTGAAGGGCGAGGTTCTGCTTACAACCCTTAGAAATGTTCATGCAAACACTGCTGCCCAGGAATAATTGTGAACTAGTTCTCAAAACAGTTACATTCTTGGATCAGTTCAAGTATTATATCTGTCCATACCCTAAAAAAATGCCCTGCATCCATGCCCAAGGAATTCCAACCTGCAAACAAAGCACAAAAACAATCCACAGACTCTCAAATGCTTCACCATAAATCACAGAAGAAGCTTCAGAGAGAGCTAATTGTCAAGAGGTTAGTTAGGTTATTGTAAATGAGGAACACCACTTTGAAATACACAGGACCTGGATTTGAGAACTAACATGAGTGTGCTGAAAAGCATGGCAGCTATATCACATGCAGGGCATTGCAAAGAAAGGCAAAAGTGAGAAAAATGAATCGTATACAAAAAAAAGAAGAAAGCTGGAGATAATTTCTATTCAGGGGAAAGGAAAAGGAACTGCCAATATAAACTCACTGTTTCAGTCTGTTATCAGATGATAACAAATAAATATTTAGAAAAATTCTATCAAGAAGCTAAACGGCCCGGGAGTGTAGGAGGGCTATTAGGAAGGCCAAGGCAGAGATAGAACTCAGGCTAGTGTCCAGGATTAAGGACAACAAAAAGTCCTTTTTCAAGTACATTGGGAGCAAGAAGAGGGCACCAGGCAATGTAGGGCCCCTGCAAGACACATACGGTAATCTGGTGGCCACGCCAGACAAGAAAGCTGATATTTTTAACAGTTTCTTTGCCTCTGTTTTCCTGAACAGGGACCGGGATATCCCACCTACCAGAGGTAGGGGCAATCTTGGGGATAGCTCTATCAAGCCTTCAGTCAGAACAGATGTAGTTAGGGATCTTCTGGAAGGGCTAGACATTTTTAAATCTGCAGGTCCAGATGCCCTCCACCCAAGGATGTTGAGGGAGCTGGCAGGGGTCATCGCGGAGCCTTTGGCCCAGCTGTATGAGCATTCGTGGTCATGTGGTCAGGTGCTGGAGGATTGGAAACTGGCTAATGTGATCCCAATTTTCAAGAAAGGGAGGAAGGAGGACCCAAGTAACTATAGGCCTGTAAGCCTCA